TTAATCTTTTGGATTTTGATTAGCTGATGAACAAGGACTTAATAATAATAGCATAGACAAAGCAGCTGATGATGATAACAATCCAGTCGAAGACATACTGAGTTGGTTTCTAGTGAACACAAAAGTGAAAATTATGCAGCTTATTGAAAAACTAATGGAGCTTGCAAATACGTTTTTTGGGCCTTCAAACGAGGAGAAAAAAGGAGGTGAATCTGATCCTCTGCAGGAAAAGCTGAAAACTTCTCTGTTTCTTTCGATTATCGTCCTCTTAATAGTCGTAGTCACTCGAGCCAAGAGTGCGTGATATTAAATTTAATTTGCCGACTTTAAATGGAGACCTTCCCGCTTAGTAAGTTTTTCATGAACTTTTTTCTGTTTTTCGATCTGTTCATGTCTGGACGATAACCAAAGTTAGTTCTTTTCTGTATAAAGTAATCTTTGGACATGTAAATTTCATCAGAATTTGTTTTTACTCTTTAAGTTGGATGCTCTTTAGTTCTTTTGTGGCATGGTGTTAGTATTTGTCAGTTCATTTAAGTTTGATTTACTTGAAGCAAAGAACCAAACACCTACATGTACTAATGTAGTAAATCATGCCAGAAGTTAGTTGCGAAAGCATATGAAAAAAAAAAGAAGTCACCTGCAAAATATTAGCAGCTCAGTTCGTAAGACCAAATCATTGGTCTCTCTGAATCATCTCAGGAACAAAGGCGCAGTCCCTTAATTATTTTTTTTTTCCCGAAATTAAACTATTAAAAACCTTAACAAAAGCATAAATAGTTAAAATAAATACTACTCAGCAGCTGAGCTAATGGGCCTTCTAACGGCTAGCGGCCCATTACCCAACTGGGCCTTATCCTTGCACCCATCAAGAACTGCGGACAGCTGGTAGGGCGGGACATCTGTCGCCAGCCACTGGTCAACGTAAAAGCTGGACTGGCTGCAGCCCTTGTGGGGCCCAGTAGACGTCACCTCAACAAAATCACAGAACCAGCCCGGGTGGGGACCCGACCCATCCGAAGTCACGTTGAGCCTGCAAATTGGCGCCCCTATGCATGGGCCTCGGCCCGTGAATATATCTAGGTTGGCCCTTTCGAAGTAGTCGTGTTTACGGCCCATTAGGCCCCAGTCCTTGAGATTTTGGATCCAAACCGATTGGCCTTTGGAATCGCTTAATGTGAGGGTGATGTTGGAGTCCGTTCCGGCTTTTATGATCGATCCGGTTTGGACGTAAAGAGTGTACACACATTCGCGCTGGATTCATTTTTTTTGCCGGAAAAGGAAAAAATAAAGTTTATTTATTATTTAATATACTTGGATGATAGTTGTATTCCATTTGGGTTATCCACATATGGGAATATTTAGGGAAATTAACATTTTGGTTCGATAACTTTTGCCTTTCTGCATTTTTTAGTCCTTCTGGAATACTCATATTATTTGATTTTGGTCATATTTGGCTGTGGAGGTTGAATTACTCGTCAACTGATGAATTTGCTGTGGCACTTCAATTGAGGATCCTTTCAAATCTCCGATAATATCTATAAATATTGTAACATTGTTATGATTTTTTTAGCATTTAATTAATAAATGGCGCAATTGTGGTGTTCATAACTGACTTGGGTTCATGGGATGAGATGTGATGAAATTAGCAGTGAAAGATTTCTTAGGCCTTATTTGTTTCATGGGATGAGATGTGATAAAATTAGTCATGTTGCACTGGATTGTACTGTAGAGAAAAAAAATGAATCCATTCTTTGCTTCGTGGGATTGAGCATTTACTGATCGAACATATTGAATTTCACCCAAATTTGATTATAAAGAGATCGAAGGGAAAAGTAAGCAAGCAGTGTCCACACAAGATTTTTAACGTTAAATCAACATATATCCACATTAGTGTAGTGTGAGTATGCGGTTCGGTTCCCACATTGATATATTCAAACTTTTTACTCAAAAAAGAATAAAAATAAAAAATTGATACGTGTAGCATAATAAAATCAAAGAATTCAAAACATTTCAAAACAAATTAGACACCAAACGACAATGTTGGGAAAAATTCCAAATGGAAAACAAACAATNAATGGTTTGGAAGATACACATCCTCGCGAAGCAACTGATACGAATTTCACACAAAAATCTGAAGATCCATATGAAAAATCCTCTCCCACAGTGCTTTTTCTATTTTTCTTCCTTTCAAATTTCTAGGTTCAAACCCTTTTGACTCGAATTTAGTTCGATAGCTCGATCAGCTAAGGATTCTTCGTCATTAGTCTCATCAGCAATCGTGCTCCTGCTCATTTGCCCTTACAAATGAGCCATAGTGACCGGAAATTGAATAAGTGCATTTGCGACGTTATACGCGAAAAGTGTCACGGAAAAAAGTTGAGTGGTTAAAGAAGCACAAAATAAGGTTCGAAATCGGAAGGTTAAGATGACACACTCTCCATAAACTCAAATGAAAATAAGTTGGATAAGTTATAGACAAGGAGACAACCAAATGACCTAAAAATGAAATATAAATAAGAGAACAGTATGAATATATTTACCTAGAGTCAGGAGCTAGAGCTACCAAGATGAAAATCCATCGTGTAATCATATTCTATGGTCGGAATCACAGAGGCCATAAATTTCAAGAACAAGAAGAGATACCTGAGAGAAGTGCAAAAAATTGCCTTCATATGTAGTACACAGCGAAATAAAACATTAAAAGAGTGGCGCATAATCAACCTAGGTGCATAATCAAATCGACCTCCGCAAAGCTTTTGACTCCGTTTCTTAGTCATTTTTTAGGCAAATGCTCGAGGGCTTGGACTTTCCATCGGTCTTCACAAGGTGGGTCTTGGAGTGTGTCACTACTCCGTCTTACTCGCTATCTATTAATGAAAGTCTCAAGGGCCATTTCAAAGAAGCTCGCGGACTAAGGCAAGGTGATCCCCTCTCGCCTTTCCTTTTTGTGCTATGCATGAGTATCTTTCTCCTATCATCAAATCCAACACGGCAGAAGGTTCGAACTTCAATTTCCACCCAATGTGTGAGGAACTAAAAATCTCTCACCTAGCCTTCGCCGATGACCTCATGCTTCTTTCTCGAGGCGACTCGACGTCGATTCAAACACTCATGAATTGTTTAAAGGATTTCGGAGTCAAGTCGGGGCTCGAAATGAACGTGCTAAAGTCTAACATATACTTGGCCGGCGTCAAAGAGAATAATCGGGCCACCATCCTAGACAACACTAACTTGCAAAGTGGTCCAATGCCTTTCCGTTACCTCGGGGTACCCCTTACTGCGGAGCGAATCACCGATCGGCTCTTTAATGATATGACCAACCAAATTGAAAGCCAACTTAGTGGGTAGTCACACGCTCTCATACGCAGGTAGATTGGAACTTATCCGCTCGGTTATCCAAGGCATTGAGTGCTTTTGGATGGGTATCTTCCATTTACTCGGTGTTGTGCGAACTAAAATCACCCAACTTTGTAGGAGGTTCTTTTGGGGCTCGAAAAGTGCTCATGTGGCATGGGATAGTTTGTGCTTACCACGATCGGAAGGTGGATTGGGTCTCTGAGACTTGGAAGCTTGGAACCAAGCGTTACTCACTCGGACGCTTTGGAACATGCAAGCCAAGAAGGACACCCTTTGGTACAAATGGATTTATAACATTTATTTGAAGGGAAGATCCATATGGGATTGGCAAATTGGTACGAAAGACCAACCTCTCTTCAAGTCCCTTGTCAAAATCCGACAAGGCTTGGTTGAAAAAGCGAGAAGTGAACGAGGAGCGGAAGCTCTTCTTCGTGGTTGGAGCTCTCGAGATAAACAAGACGGGTCTAGTAAGTGCTACGACTTCCTAAGACCTAGAGGACCCACAAGGCCATGGACTGGGGTTGTTTGGGGGGGGGGGGGGGGGGNACCCCCAAACACTCATTCATCCTATGGTTGGGGGTGCTTAATAGACTCCGGACAAAAGTCTGCCTTGAATTCCTTGACGAAGACCCGATTTGCCCTCTATGTGGTACCGCGAATGAATCTTCGTGCCACTTATTCTTTGAATGTACTTTTAGCTCGAAAATTTTGGGGGAGATTCGTACTTGGATTAGTCTCCAACATAGGCCGTCCACAGTAAAAGGAGCCCTCAAATGGATCAAATGGATCCGAATGTGCTTGTTGAATTTGAGAGGAGGAGCCTTGGGCTTTGAGAAGCATTTTTGGTGCTCGATTATTGAGGTTTTGAGGTGGCCGAAAGACCTCGGAGATTGGTTGTTTAGGTATGGAAAAGATTCCATGGACAAGCTTCGTATATCTATATCTCGCGAATGAGGAACCGACTTGTGGTTGCCCATTACGCTTTTGTATGCCGTAAACCGGTTGTTTGAACTCAGTTTTGATCTATATATTTACATTTAACGGTAAAAAAAATAAAAAAAAAAAGAGTGGTCAACCAGTTCCAATATTTGCATCTAGTCGAAATATAAAAAGAAATAGGATAAGACGTTCAGTTATGATTGAAAAAATATTGAATGCGTAGAGAAACACATATAAAAACAGAGATTACAGTGAAAATAGAACACGAAACAGAAGGTTTAAGGTACTTTCAGAAGTTCAACACTTATCTTACTCAACACACTCTGTGAATATACTGAAGATAACAAAAAGACAAAATCCCTAGAGCGATCAAAATCAGATATGCTGATAAAAGACAATACTTAAACATATTTTGAATCTGCACTAGCAGTTATATGGAATATGGATACAAAAGGACCAGATCAAAGTATGATTAAAAAATTTGTCCACCCCATTGTGCATTTCAAAACAAACCGTTAAAGCTAGAAACGTGTTTGAAGAGTTTTTAGATGTTGACAGACTATATGAAACTAGGATTTCATTTCACCTCTCCCCATTTCAGAACATTTGCCATGTTCAAAAAAGATTAAATCTTTTGTCACAAAACAAGACAAGCTATAGCGCCAATCACACTGCCTTATAAGTTATAAAACACACAATCCGAATACTAAAGTGATAACATGAAAAGGAACACAAGAAAAAACAAACCAATGAATTTTCCAGTCATGAATTCATAATCAGCTCCACAATTCCGGAGGATTAACTGAAATCAGTTTGTTGCGCGTGAGGTTTGAGTATGGAAATTCGGGAGTTCGCATTAAGTTATGTTTGATTGTGTGTTTGATGAGTGGGATTAGGATTTTGGTAAATAGGATTATTAACGTAATTTGATTGTTTTAAGTCAATAAAATAATTAATCAAGTCCGACCCGTGTAGTAGCTTTTTGAGTTTTTTCCATATCATATTGACATATTGTGGTACTTTTCAAGTAATCGAAAGCTTCGTCACGTGCCTCCTAAAAATAGGGAGAGTAAAGCGTGGGCAATAAAACAATCAATTATTAAACACATTTTTGTATAATATATTGTAAATATATTAAGCAACATCATATGATTAATATATTTGCTTTAATTTCAACTCAAGCATAGCTTTTCAATCTCGAAAAGTTTGAAGTTGGACTTATTAATTTTTGTAAATTAAAACATTGACTTAGGTTTTGAGAATCAACAATATAATATCTTTTATTACTTGCACCAGAAATAAATAAATGATTTCAATTCATCTCCTAAAGTGTAGAAAATCTGGTCTATATTGTTGGAATTTAGATTTGGAACAACTATGTTCGACCTTCCCAGCTATATTTCTAAATTGAGTTTATGGTCTCATCAATTGAGGTGGCTGGATATATAAAATTGAACTTGATTGAAATTTAATTTTATATATGGTCGTGTTTGTGAGGTTGTATTTNATACGACTAATTTGCAGACAATAACTTGTTATTTCTTATTTCGTGTCACAATTCATGAAATAAATAAATTTAATGTATAATTAAATTAGCAAAATTAAAACTTTATATTTAAAGTGCAATTAAAGCAAAGTTTGTGATTTAACCAACTACAAAGGCAACATGCATAGAGCCTTGCGCCTACAGAAACTCTCTTCATCTTCCTTGCGTATCTGCGCCTGAAAATGGAGGCGAAATATGCCTCTCTGTGGGACAAGTGGCTCGAAGAAGCACTCTCGAAGCTCGAATCCCTCAAAGTTTTGAGATCCCTAAGGCCAATTCAGCTTCCCGGTCGAGTTGGCATTCAATCCACCTCCGGCGATAGCTCTCGCGCGTATCCTCACGAGCAGCTTCCAATTTTTGACGGCCCAACAAAAGGAGACAGAGCTTCTGTTGAAGTGAACATTTCTGAATCCACATTCCGGAAATGGCTACACGATGTTCCTAGTTCAGGCATATTTCAATTTGTTCGCTCATTTTTATTTTTATTTTTATTTTTTAAGTTTCCATGTTTGATTTAGTGAAAAGGTCTCATCTTTTTTCTTTTTGTTCAGTTTTTAGTTTTATTTTTTGTTTGCTTTATTTCTGGAATTATTGTTTTTATTTTTCTAGCTAAGGTCCGCAACCTTTGCATGTCCTGGGTTTTTGGGCGTTTGGGGTGGGGTGGGGTGGGGGGAATGAATTCGGCGGCTTAAGCAATTGAACAATTAGGGTGTTTTTCTCATGCTTCCTGTCATTGCTAGTTTTTGAGACAGTGCCGTCTAAGTATTGTTTGGAAAAATAAGAATGATTTTGAATTGCTTATTGGAACATTTGATGAAAAGGATGATGAAACTAATGTGATGAGGCTAACGGGGAAACAAGAGTGAGTAATCTATTTTTGTTATGGAAATGCAATGAAAATAATTGATGTGTTATATAATGATGAAACTATTGTTAGATGTGATTGATGATTGAAAAATGAGACACTGTTTTGTGGGGTACCTTCTGATGAATTTTGATAAACTAATTGAGCTTTTATCCTTTTTCATGTTTTCCTTTTTTTCTTGGGATCATTGCACCTACTTCGAAGAGAAACCAATTCATGAAAAACTATAAATTGTAATGGGTGATGTAGTTAAGTTTTTAATCTGTTTGCTTTTTTTGTAATTTCTGAATTTGCAGGCGATGACAATGATATCATATATCAGAACATAGATGCTGATGATAAAGGAGACTCAACTGGTGGGAACCTTAGGAAGCTAATCGTATTCTCTGGAAATGATTATTTGGGTTTGAGTTCACATCCAATGGTTAGCTATGCAGCTAGCAAGGCATGTTTCACTTTCTGCAGTTTTTTTTCTACAACTTAGCGTGTTATTGGCTCACAACTGTTGATATTTACTGAATTCAATTGTTTTGGCAGGCAGCTCAGGATCACGGAATGGGTCCAAGAGGTTCTGCTTTGATCTGTGGTTACACTAATTACCACAGGCTACTTGAATCATCACTCGCCAATCTGAAAAGAAAAGAGGTACCACTTCTATCCTTAAATTTTAATAATTTTGTGTGTACTGGAAATTTAAAATGGTTGAAATGATTTTTCTCAGCTATATTTCTCTTGGGATTGAATAAGGTGCCTGTTCCTATCATCACTACTTGGAGCTATTCAACCATAGAAACGATTGTTTTTTATCTGTATAAGAACCACAGGCATTTACCTCTTTCTTTCAAATAATCCACTTTAACTGCATTTTCTGTGATTCTATCCCACCATCTACATAGGAAAGAGCTGTTACACCTTTGTGCTTATCTTAAATTGATAAATAAATTTTGTTTTCACATTAAAGTGGTAGTTAAAATTCAGTTCTTATGATCTCTGTCCACTTGAGCATCAGGACCTTTTGCATGGATTTTATGGCATCACTATATTTATAAAACTGATCCAGTTCCATTTTTCTAATCTTAAATATTAGGATTGCCTTCTTTGTCCGACAGGCTTTTCAGCCAATATGGCCTTTATGACAGCGCTTGGAAATGTCGGTTTTCTGGTTGCCGGGGGGAAACCCTTGCAAGATGATAGGGTTGCCATATTTTCTGATGAACTAAACCATGCATCGATAATCGATGGCATTCGACTTGCTGAGAAACAAGGAAATGCTGTGGCATTTGTTTACAAGCACTGTGATATGTCCCATCTGGATGCATTGTTGTAGGCCATTGTTTCCATTCTTTAATTTGCCCCTTTTTTATTCCTTTGCCTCATTTATGCTGTTCTCTATTCATGATATGAATGCTGCCTCCGATTGTTTGATAAACAACAGGTCTACTTGTCGGATGAAGAAAAGAGTTGTTGTAACTGATAGGTTAGTCATTTGACTGGATGATCGATTCTAAAAGTTCCCATCCATATGCATAATTTCAACTTTTTCGTTGTTTATGCAGTTTTGAGTTCTATTTAGCTGCCATAGTGTTTAGTAGTCATAATAGAATTTGATTTCTCTTCAATTTGTAAGAATTAAGAAAATAATATCAATTACTATCACTTAGTTCCTTGCTGATGTAGCAGTATGTGGATGATTTTGGTTTCCATGGATATCCTTGACCAGACACTTCATTTGAACTTGACCAAAACTAGTGTAGTTAGTGGATACTTTACTTTTTTTTTTTTCTTTTTTTTCCTTGCTGGTGAAAGATGAATACATAAGGCTACTTGTGTGTAATCCTTATTCCTTAATAGTAGATTTTTGCATGCCGTCATCGATTCTGCCATTGACATCACATCCATTTTGATTCATGACAATGTTAAAATTGGATAATTAGTTTCGTTCATTTCGCCAGCCTGTTTAGCATGGATGGGGATTTTGCACCGATGACTGAGCTTGCAAAACTACGTAAGAAGCATGGGTTTTTGTTCGTAATTGACGATGTAAGTTTCTTAAGTTTGAAATCAAGTACACATGAGAAGATTCTTGCAAAATGACTCACACATGCAAATTGGGTAGTTAAATTGTAGCTTCAGATATCACATAAAAACTTGTATTCCCTTAAACACATATATAGCTTCACGAAAGAACACACGGTGGATGAAGTAATAAATACATGGTCCGTTATAAGTGCTTTTTAATTCTCTTGGTCATTCTGTTTTCATTCTTTTATCCTCTTAATCAATGTAATTTCACTCCACTCCACTGGTCTTTTCATCCTACCTCATTTTTCCTCTTGGTTTTATATCTATATATACTAGCTAAACAGATTTTACTCCTTTGCAAATATCGTAGGCTCACGCAACCTTTGTTTGTGGGAAGAATGGTGGTGGGGCAGCCGAAATGTTCAACTGCGAAAATGATGTCGACATTTGCATAGGCACTCTGAGTAAAGCTGCAGGATGCCATGGTGGATTTATTGCATGCAGGTAAAAGATGAGTTTTTATCTCCTCTCTCTCTCTCTCTCTCTCAGAAAATGAAACCTATATAGCTCATTTGGAACAAGTCTAAGTTTCTACTGAATGTTCAAAAATATTTATGCCTTCCATTTTTATCGGTAATGGCAGCAAGAAATGGAAGCTGCTCATCCAATCCCGTGGAAGGTCCTTTATATTCTCGACTTCTACACCAGTGCCTGTTGCTGCTGCAGCCCACGGTCAGCCTTTTCTCATTTTCCATATTCGGAAGTGTTCATCAATGCTTTGGATTCTACATTCAGTCATCCTATATATGACATGTACACATTCGTGACTTCTTTCGTACATTTTCTGTCACTCATGCAGCTGCCATTGTTGTGGCAAAAGAAGAGGCATGGCGTAGAGAGTCTATTCATAAACGGGTTCAGGATTTTCGTGCTTTGACAGGGATTCTTGTGGAAAGTCACATCATCTCAATTGTCGTTGGGCGTGAGAATAAGGCTCTGCAAGCTAGCCGGTCTTTTACTTTTTCTCTTTTTTCTTTTTTTTTTTTTTGNCTTAAGATTTTACATAAAAAAAAATGTTTTTGCGGTCTCAGTAAGAAAGTTTGTGTCTTTGTTTTACAGGCATCTTCTGAGATTAGGTTTTCATGTGACTGCAATTAGACCTCCCACAGTACCACCAAACTCATGCAGGTTAGTCAATTTTCTAGCCAAATTTAAACTTGAGTTGTGCCTTGAATGGGGATTAGTTCTGATGTGTGCTAGTTTTGCCCTTTGTCATTTCAGGTTAAGGATAACTCTAAGTGCAGCACACACAAGAGATGATTTGAGAAAGCTCACAGATGCACTTGCTGAGTGCATCGATGTTCGGGAGACTGAAGTTCATGGAAGAAATTGCTACCCCAAGCTCTAGTGTTTTATTTTATAGATTAAAAATATTACTTCTTTGGGTTTGTCTCTTAGACTATGTAATGGAGAAACACCTTATTGTATTGGAAACTATCTGAATTTGATATGTAGTAAAGCCTTGGGTAAACAAGGCAAAAATGATGTGTACTCATTGTATGAGCATTTACTGTCTTTTTGGTGATTAGCTATCCCCTATTCATCATCTCCCCATATTCATTCCTCACAAAAGCTGGCTGGACGTGTAAAGTTTCGAAATTTGTTATATCAGGTAACTTTGGCACCATACTTTTTGTTGTCTATTAGGTGAATTGATATTAGACCTATTATTGTTCAATCATTCATGGTTGAAAGAATTTCATTTCTAATGAACGGAAAAATCCCATCTTGAATAGTTGAGAAAAGCTCGAAAAATGCTGGTACACACATGAGGCGCGCGCAAAAGGGTCGAAAAAATTCCCAAAATTTAACATTGGATAAGCAAAGTTTTGAGACCAGGTCAGGGTAAACACTGATTAGATCCATATCCGAGCAAAAACACGAGGTCTAATGGGCAAACCTCTCAACTGAGGTACTATTACTTGAAAATAAAAGCAGAAAAGGATAATGCGCAATATATATTTTGTGTTTGTTGTGTGTAATAAAGAGATGAGACCTAGCCATGGCCATTGGTGGACTGATCATCAGAGGCTGGGCTGAGAGAAGAGAGAGCCAACCAGTTGTGGCTCATAGCTGATGGGCTGCAGTTGATGTTCCTATTACTGTTTATCTTCTGATCATAGCCCAATCTCATTACACTTCCTGGCCCATTATCAGCTCCACTAATCTCCCACACAGTTGAGCTTGAATTTGCTGATACCTGCATCAACAACAACCCATGCCAAATAACATGAGAAGATGATTTCAAATATTCAAATCAAACACTGGATTTATTTCTTAATCAGAATCCTCAAAACGAAATAAATTAACAAGAAAATTAATTATTAGACTTTAATAAAAGTACATTCAACCCTTAGAAGGCAATACAGATGAGGTGTGAATTTCGAAACTATAATAAGTATCAAGGCACATTAGTAAGGTTGAGATAATGCTAAATGGATTCTTTTGGTGCTTTTTAGTCTAAATTTCAAGATATTATTTTGGGATAGTTGAAATAACCATGCTTTGATGCACCCAATAGACAAGAAACTAAAGAGAGTGATCTTTGAATTCAAAAAACAACCTTTGAGCACCCACCTTCTGTAAGGACAATCAGGGAAGGTCTAATTCAAAACATAACTAACTTTCAATTAAACAGAACACAAGATATAGGTATTTCTGTAAAAATAAAACATAAAAAAAAAAAATCAAGTTGACTCACCAATGACACATCATTAGGCTTTGCTGGGGCACTGTTGACGTTGACCAAAGCATCCTCGAACCCTGACCCTGTTGGCATAGTCACCTTAACCGCACGTTTCTCAGCCAACGGTTTCACGAGCAGCCGAGGTGAGGTTAGACCAGACGACGAGTTGACCGAAGGAGGAGTCGGGACCTCCACCTGGACTGTGACCTGGTTAGAACCAGTAGAGTGAACCATGGTTCCATCCTTGACCATGTTAGGCCAGAGGAAAGTCCCCTGTGGCTTGCAGATCCTGAAACCACTCTTCATCCTCTGAATCTTTGCTGCCTTTTCTGCTGCAGCATTTGATGTTGGCTGGCCACTGTTGTTTTGCTTATTCACAGTCTCTGGTAAGGTTATTACAGTGTCTGTTGGGGCCAATGATGATGGGTGGTCCTCTGTTTCTCTTTCTTTAGCAGTGTTGAGTGCGATGGACTTGGCTGTGCTTTCCTGTATTTCATATTCATGTAACAAAAATGCCAAATAAAGCAACAAGCAAATGGAAAGCATAAATCTATCACAAAACTTTTAAGTCCCTTTGTCAACTAAATACTCATTAATGATGTCTAAAAGCATTTTGTGTTTTACCTGTATCTCTTTCACAAAATCAGAGATGACCACAAGGTGTTCCTTGCACTTCTATTGAAAAAAAAAAAAAGATAAAGAAAAAAAATATGACCAAAACATAATATGTAATAGGGGATCCGATTTTCTTAACGATAAAAGCCTACGGAAACTGTAACTTGTAAATATTAACTATACAACATAATAAATCACCTCTCCAACTTGGACACTGCCGATGTCGGTTTTTGAGGAATCCAATGAAGTGGCAAGCTGGTTCAGCATTTGGCTAATGTCCGAACGACTCAAATTTATTGTGATGGCTTGATTTTCTTCTTCCCGACTCCTTTTTGATGCCGAAAGCTCTTCAACTTCCCTGCAAACATGAGAAGCATGCAACAGATATCCTTCTAATTCATTCCAAAAAACAAGACAGAAAAGGGAGCTAAGTGCAATTAAATGATCTCATGTTATTGTATTATCATATCATCACCTCCTTAACCTTCTCACATCATCCTCCAGCTGCATCTTTGTGGCCATATAATCTCTGTTCATAAAACAAAAAAACATCAGTAACAATGCACTATAATGAAAAGCCACCTCAGAGTATCCCTTAAAAACAATTCCAAGATCCTCTATTCCATTGGGTGTTTCATCTCAATATCAAGAACGCCACCAAACGTAGAACAAGACCTCAGTAATCAGCCAAAAACAGCAGTGAATATTAATGCACCTTTCCATTCTGGTTATGCTATCTTTCAAAAGCTTCAGCTCCCTTGCACAAACCGGGTCCTGAGTTGGCGAGTCACCCGGCTTCCACCCGGGTGGGGGGATCCAATAAGGATCGGTTATCCCAGCTTCTTTCCTGATGTTAACGAGATCAGCACTCTCCAACCAATACTCCATGGCCCCATCATGATTATGCCGCCGTCTGAATCTCTCCTTGCCTCCCGGTGCAATTTTTCCGGCCATATGCTTCAGGAGGTGGTCGAGAAGCCCGGTGTCCCCGATTGTCTTTCTAGCTTCTGCCCTCAGTTGAGGCCTCAGAATTGGTTTTCCAGCTGTTGCTGCTTTTGCCTTCATCACACTCACAAGATTTGTCTCAGCTAGCTTGTACCTTCACATTTCATCAATTTACAGTTCAGAACAATGAAGATTAAATATGCTAGAATAAGTACATATAAAAAAAAAAAAAGATAATGTTTATTTAGATCACCTTTCAGCAGACCAACGGTCTTTTGGGTCTCTCGGAACAAGTGCTTCCTTGCACCTGCCTCTGCCTTTCTTTTTCTTGGCATGGGAGGTCTTATTCTTTAGCCTCTTAAGCTGAATAGGATTTTCTTTCTTGGGTTTTTTAACAGCAATATTTCTGAAAGAGTACCTCTTTCTTTTCGAACTCGTGTTAGTGCCTCTCTTAACCATTACAAGTTCTTCTTCTTCTTCTTCCTCCTCCTCCTCCTCCTCCTCCCCGTCGTCTCCTTCTTCTCCTTCCTCATCTTCCTCCTCCTCATCTTCTTCTTGTTCTTCCTCATTTTCTGGACCATCACTATTAGCAGTTTCGTCATCTTCTTCACTTTCATCCTTCACCATCTCTTCATCTTTTTTTCTACCACCATTACTATTTTCATTTTTCTCTACCTCCACATATTTTCTGTCATCATCAAAATCTGCGGCAGAACCCAGCTCAACCCCGAACCCCTCGATACCATTCATAAAGCTTGAGGACTGCCCATTAATGTAACCACAAGCACCATAATCAATCTCCTTATGCCTGCCCAGATACTTGACCTGCCTTCTTACCCCCCACCTCACCATCCCATTCCCTCTCAATGCATCAGATAAGCCATGATCAGCACCCATTTTATGCGCAACACTAATTTTAATGTCATCCCTGCGTAAATTATAACAAGCACCAACTGGAGGATCAATCAGCCAGAAACTCTGCAAATTTTTCTGCTGGTTATATGTAGCCGGCGGAACTATCCTGGTAAGCACTTTGTCTGCCAAGGAATTGCCCATCACAAATTTTTCATCAAGAGCCGGGTGTGTTTTCTTTGTTCTGTAGTCGAAGAACTGTTTCAGGGACTCCTTGCTGGGAAATCTTACGGAGACATTCATCTCAGTCTTCTCACAGACCTTAAATTCCAAAAAATAAAATAAATAAACTAATAAATTCAGAAGCAGGATGGAACTATAAATTACATTTATGGAATTTATTTTGATTGAGATACAGAAGCTTCTCACCATAGCAACTCTAATGAGCCTGAGCTGAGCTGGAGATCGAGGGGGCAAATTCCAGTGATCAATCTCGTAAAGATAACCGGATAGAATGTGGCTCTGTGTCTGTACCAATGATTTTCCGGCATCCTCTGGTTCTGAAATTGAAAAACATGAACCGGGTCTTCGCAGTTAAAAACTGTAATTAATTGTAGGAAAGAATACGTTTAGATAGTTAATAATAGATCTCGATTGGTACCTTCGACTGGAAGTGAACTGTGGTGGGTTGAAGGCGGCGGCGGAGGTGTAAAGTAGTGCTGCCGGCGTGAACTCGGAGGTTCTCCGGCGGCCGTAGCTACTTGCTCGGCCTCTTTCTGCTTTCCCTGATCCATTAAAGCAACAGAGTTTATCAGCAGACTTCTATATACTGTATAAGCTCGCAGTGCATGTGCGTGCGAGCGGATCTATATATGTCCCCGTGTGTGTGTGTGTGTGTGTGTTTTCCATGCAAGCAAAAGATGAAATTTTTTGAAAATGGCTATCGATCATGCGGTTTTGCAGAGGGTGATATGATTATAAAGATTCGATTTTTATTTTTTTTCTTGTGGTGTGTTTGCAACAGCAGGGACACGCAGTATTCAATACCAGACGCAATCCACAGCGCGTGGCCGAGACTGAGTTTGTTCAAATTAGAAATGTCTATGTACGTGGTGTGGGCGCGTGGAGGGATTGTCACCAATATGTGAGACCAAAAATAACAGATAATGGGGCCTTTCTGTGCCAACTCATGCAGTGGGAATTGACGAGTTAGAGAGAGAAAACGAAGAGAGAGAAACTAGAGAGAGAGAGATTACCGAGGTGGGTTCATTTTTTGGTTTTTTGTGGCGTTTTCTGTAGTACGTTTCCATCACCATGTCCTGCAACAACGAAAAAAAAGCACAAAATATCTTCAAATTTACAGATGAATAAATCAAAATAAAGTGAAAAATAAAAAATGTGCAGAGTCAAAGTGTTTTCTGCATAAGCAAAAGGGATATTTTCCAGATAAATAAGGAAAAAGGGAAATGGTTTACGCTTTTGAAGAAAAAAAAAAAAAGCTGAAATGTTGCTGAAAATGAACAAAGAAATTTTTCCATCTAAGGAAAGGATTTGAAAAGACGGCTGGGAAAAAAAAAATTGCTATGGCAAACATGGAAATCACAACAGAACCCTGTAAACTTCATCATTAACTGTAAACAACAAAATGTGAGGGAAAACGAAAAAGGCAGTAAATTCCTACAGATAATGTGAAACATATTGAAGCAAGTTTTATCGATCTCTAGGTATAGCTTGAAAAAAATTAGAAAAATGGGAATATGAACTAGCCTACGGATGAACTTGAGCAAAAACAGAAAATCAAAGGTTTGAACTTCTAGAATAGAACAAATTACAAATGAATTTTAAGAACAGAAAACAGGAAAATCGAGGATCAGGTCGAAAACCCATGGAAAAGAGCAAGTCAAGAATGCACCTTTTTCGTCCAAGAGATCAAAAAACAAAGCTACGAAGATTTTGGAGCCCTAAATTCCCGAAAAACACATATTGCTCACGGGAATAGTCATATGCATGTCGGAGGGATGAAGAAAACCCAGAAAATGAAGAAGAATTTCTGGAATGAGATGAACTGCAGCTTGGAGGGATGAAGAAAAATTTTATGGGAAAAGCGAAGATTCAGAGCGAGTGAACAATTTCGCCTCCAAAAATTCTGGTTTTTTATTTTTGAGAGAGAGAGAGAGAATCTGTACAGTGGCACTCACAGTTACAAGCGCACGCACTCAACGCTGCTGGAGATGGTCCCCTCCACAAAATGACAAATATACCCTTGATCCAAATGCGGTGATATAAACACAAATATGTGAGACATTCAATATAAACATATAAATCAACAAAAACAAAGGCATAAAAAAGAATAATGGCTCGTTTATAAAAAAAAAAAAATTGGTTTTTACTGTATATTTAAGCTTAGGATAAACACAAATATATGATAAAAGAAAAAACAAGATATATATATATATATATATATATATAAACCCTATTTGAAGAAATTATGGACCTTGGCCCTTGAATATTACATGATTTTCCAAATAGCATATTTATTTGTATATTCAGGACCAAGCTGTGTAGTTGTGTTCATTTTACTTGGAAATGTAAAGGGGAAAATGAAAAATGATGATAATTCAAACTTAACTCGAGTTCCCTACCTTTAATTTCTCAAATTTTTTTTAAATATTATTTTTTTAATCTTTTGGCAATTTACTTCATTTAATGAAAGTTTATAAACTGGAAAACAACAAAGGCAGTGAAACTAGTGAAACACAATGAACAAAAACCCCACATGGTAAAAGCATAAAAAAATTCAAGCCAAATCACAACACTATTAAAACTTGTCAATCATTCCCTTATTCCACATGGTCCTTCACATCAGTCTTCCCAGAAAAAGAAACACACACACACACACACACACACACACACAGATTTTAGCATCCATCAGGTACGAGCACGACAGATCCAGAAGTCTTCCTGTTCTCAAGGTCCTCATGGGCCTGGGCCGCTTGAGACAATGGGTACGTATGATTCACTCGGGCCCGTAAGATGCCCGAGCCCACATTGGTGAATACTTCAGAGGCTGTCTGCAGAAGTTCGTCCCTAGTCGCTGTGTATTGCATTAAAGTGGGCCTTGTCAAGAACAGGGATTTGGCCGCCAGTGCCGCCAGTGGGATTGGGTCGGGACTGCCAGACGACTGCCCGAAACTCACCATGTATCCACGCAGCTTCAAACATGCCAGTGATCCCTAAACACACGATTTTAGCTTTTAAGTGAATCGTATAAAAATAACAGTTCACAAAAGTGTGGAAAACTACCCCTGAGGTCTGGAATATCTATAGATTTGGCAGATTTTGAGAATTAGAAACTTTCATTTTGAGATTTGATTCAGTTCTTAAAATTAAGGGAGGTTTGTTCAATGTGATATTGTTGTAATAACTGGGAAAGGTGATTATGGGAACCTTTCTACGAAGAGCAATGTAAGGCTAGGTAGAAAAAAATCATGGGGGTTTATTTTTTATTTTATAAACTTCTTTGGGTTCTCTATTGCAAATACTCGATCCTCAGGGCCAGCTGGCAAGGTAGTGTTCTGTAATTCTCTTGAAATAAATGACAGTTGCAGAAACTTTCCACGAAAAGAACTTCAAAAAGAGTTTTGTAACCAAGAAAGCCATTCGACGCTTGTATTTTCCCAACAAATATTCCCTCAACCCCTTCAAAAAGAGGTAATTTCCAAAGGAAAATCAAATGACATGCGGGATTTTTGTAATTATGAAAACTAGCCGGCTTCCTGTAAGTAATTATTGACTTGGCTAAGCTGCAGGACAATTTTATGCATTAAACATTAAACAATTAGCTCGGGAAGAAAATGCAAAGTAATGATTGATTCGCATGGTTTCATGTCAATACACATACGGAGACCCCCTTTAGTCCTATTTTTCATCAATCGGGAAGAAATAAAATATTAATTTAACAAAAATTAGCTCAATTACCTCAAAAGTGTCCTTCCCAACAGAGTCGTATACAACTTCAACGCCTTTACCGGATGTTATCTCGTTGACACGTGTAACAAAATCTTCTTCTTTATACAATATGACATGGTGGCACCCATCTTCTTTGGCTTGATCTGCCTTCTCTTCTGTAGAGACTGTCCCAATAACAGTGGCCCCAAGTGCATTTGCCCACTGGCACAAAAGGGACCCCACCCCACCAGCTGCTGCGTGAACCAGGACTGTGTGCCCTGACTCGACCTGCGAAAAAAATGCAATTGAATGAAATAAAATCCTTCGACTAGAGAAAAGTGTTTCGGAAAAATTATAGGGAGAAACGAATTATTTGAAAAGCGTGATTGAATGAATGAATGTATGATAAAAATGTAATGACTACAATTGATGTAATGTAAAAAGAATAAAATAATGAGTGGTAGTTCGAATTTGGAAATATGTGAGCTGATTAACAGGAAATTTTATCTAGTGAGGATGAGTGAATAGTGGCTACCTATTTTCTTAAGAATTTTTTTTATAGTGAAATGGATAGTATAAGATTTTGGTGCCCAATCGCATCCTTAGATTTGATGAATTTTTGGAATGGCAAAAATGAAGCATTTCCTATATATTTCGCCCTTTTCGTTTTTTTTTCCTTTTTGTCATATTCAGCATAGTTTCTCTTTTAGATGGTCAAAACGAGGGTATTTACGTAAATCAAAAATTTGTTACAGAACTTTACGGTCACATGCTCATGAAACTGAAAACAACAGTTAGTGTCATCAATGGCGGATGGTGGAAAATGGTATGATATGATTAGCAAAGGTATTAGTCACAAGTTATGGTATAATATGATTAGCAAACCTGGCTACCATGACAACGAAACGTAGATTTCTGGACTTAAGCTTCAAAGTAAAGAAAGGTATTTAGACAGGAAGTAGACAAATAACTGAGGTGTATCCCGCTTTTTATGGATGACTAAGAAAATCTTGGTTATAATGATAAGGAAAACCAACTGCTAACAACTTTCCTTCCGACAAAAATTGGTAAAAGTAATATTCTTATCTGAGCAAATCACAAGCAACATTGCCTTGTTGAAAAGCAAATCAGGAAAAAAACAGAGATATGTTGGTTGGGATAACAAATATAACCCAATGNCATGACCTTAATAAATCATCGACAGATTAGGATGTGACTGTAACAGAAAACCTACTTTAAAACATCGGCGGACAAGAAATTGAGCAGTCATTCCCTTGAGCATGATAGATGCTGCTACAATGGGATCGATTGAAGGAGGCACAGGCACCACTTTTTCAGCAGGAAGGATTTGTTCCTCCGCATAAGCGCCCATAGGAAGACCTGCATAAGCAACAACATCCCCAACTTTCCTTCCAGTAAGCCCGGGCCCTACAGCTGTCACCACACCAACAGCCTCCATTCCTGTCATCAAGATAGTTCACAGTAAGATTATGTAAAGGCATACATATAGTCCAGTACAAGATCTTACAGAATTCTTATATTATGTGAAAAAAATTGATCTAATTTTATTTTTTTTTTAATGTGCTTTTAAATAAAAGACTGCGTGAGATAGGGCGCCTTGTGCTGAGATGTGAAAAATAATACGGAAATGAATTATAACAGGTGACATATTAATAAAAGAAACTAAGAAAGAATATGGACCAGGAGTGAAGGGTAATGTTGGAGCCTTGTAAACCCCTTTCCGGAAATAAACATCGATGAAGTTCAAGCCGATGGCTTTATTCTTCACTCTGATCTCTCCATCCTTAGGCTCCCCAATTTCCACATCCTCCCATTTCAGGACCTATATTCAAATGCACCCAGCAGTAAGTAAATCAAATCAGGACTTCCAATCTGATGTATAACCATCACTGTAAAAAGCAGTGGATGATGAAATGTGTTCACTGGAAAATGAAAAATTAAATCACTTCACTACAGCTTAAAGATCAAGAAGTTATGCAATGTCTATAACAGATTTCTTGAACAAAACACAATCCCCAAGCCCTATTCGTAGCCTGCAATGTGCAAGACTCTAACTTAAGCAAAACAATCATGGCAGGACAATCGATACAAACATTAAGGCTTAATTGGAACATTGGTTCCTTCACAGGGTGGCTTTTTTTAGCAATTTCCGTGAGTAAAAATTTGATATAGCAATCTGAGTCCTATTAAAAAGAATAAATGATAGTTTGCACTTGTAGACACAAAAGTTCAACTAAAGCAACTTTGTCTAACAATATATGACTTTGTACATTAATGGTTCCCAACCGGTTGTCTCAATAGTTAGCATACTCCCAAAAGATCAAAATACTGTTGGATGCCAGAATAAACAAAATACCACACATCAACGAGAAATGGTATTCAGAAGTTACAGAATTTAAGATGCTCTTTCTGAAAAATAGAAATCAAGAATTGGACTTGCTACCGGAAGATATGAAGTAAAATTACCAACACTTAACACTCAGGGTACTGAATTTGCAATTACATCAAAATCAATCTCAGTACATGAGGAGATGGCGAACACAAAATCACAAGTGACAAAATCTCCAGTTACTAAAACATGGAAATTACGAATTGAAATTGCTACCAGAAGACATGAACTAAAACTGCCAACCCTCAACAATCGGGGTACAGAATTTGCAATAATATCAAAACTAATCTCAATACATCGGGAGATGACAAACACAATAGAATCCGAGAAAACCATAAACACAAGCTCAAGCTATAAATGATTGCCAGCAAAAGTCAAAAAACTAATAAATTATTTTCTCAATCCAAAATCATAAATGACTAGATCTCCAGTTACTAACATCACAACACGGGATTCAGAAACATAACAGTAACTGATGCCATCACGTAAGAATAATCTACAT